AGACCCACAATGATTTAACTTAATCTTTTATGTGTTACAACAGACCCACAATGAGTTAACTTAATTTTTTATGTGTATTAACAGACCCACAATGATTTAACTTAATCTTTTATGTGTTACAACAGACCCACAATGATTTAACTTAATCTTTTATGTGTTACAACAGACCCACAATGATTTAACTTCATCTTTTATGTGTTACAACAGATTCACAGTGAATTAACTTAATCTTTTATGTGTATTAACAGACCCACAATGATTTAACTTCATCTTTTATGTGTTACAAAAGACCCACAGTGAATGAACTTAATCTTTTATGTGTATTAACATACCCACAGTGAATGAACTTAATCTTTTATGTGTATTAACATACCCACAATGATTTATTACATAAAAGATTAAGTTCATTCACTGTGGGTCTGTTGTAACACATAAAAGATGAAGCACATAAAAGATGAAGTTAAATCATTGTGGGTCTGTTAATACTATTAACAGACCCATAGTGAATTAACTTCATCTTTTATGAGTATTATCAGATTCTCTAAGAATTATGTTTACTAACTTACTCATTAAGATACAAGTTTAACTTTTGTCGTACGAAAAGATTCACTGCATGAGAGATAAGGTCGCCTGTTAGCCTTACTAAGAGAAAATTTCACCTTTTTGTGTATCAACTGACTCGCTAAGATACAAGTTCACCTTTTTGTGTATTAACTGACTCACTAAGATACACTTTCACCTTTTTGTGTATTCTAACTATCTCACTAAGATACACTTTCACCTTTTTTTGCGTACTGACTCACTCACTAAGATACAAGTTCACCTTCTTGTGTATTAACTGAATAACTAAGAGAAATTACCTCTTTTTTGTGTATTAACTGATTCACCAAGAGATAAGTTTTCCTTTTTTGCGTACTAATTGGCTCACTAAACCAGATATTATCTTTTGGCGTAGTGTAATAAGCTGAATCATCAAGGAAAAATCACTTTTTCTTTACTGACAGACTCACTAAGAGAAAATACCACTTTCTGGTATACTAATAGACTCATTAAGAGATACATTCTTATTTTTGCGTATTAACTGGCTCATTAAGAAAAATCATATTTTAGTGTACTAATTGCTTCAATAAGAGATAAATTCGTCTTTTTACTCACTAACTAATTCACTAAAAGATTTATTATTTTGGCTTATTAACTGGCTCTCTAAACAGTGTTTTTTTTTAATTTAGCGTACTAGCTGACTCACCAAAAGAAAATTTATTTTTATTATACTGACTGATTCATTAAGTGATAACTTTTGAAACGATAAGTTATTCTTAATATACTGACTGATTTACTAAGTGATATGTTTTGAAACGATAAGTTATTTTTACTGTACTGACTGATTCACTAAGTGATAACTTTTGAAACAATAAGTTATTTTTAGTGTACTGACTGATAGATTTTAAAATGGCGTACTTGAAAATAAGATATAACATCCTATTCGTACAATAGTTTTACTGTCGTCAGTCCTGAACAACAGTAGAGGTAAAAACAACTTACATAACATATTTAACAGTTATAACTAATATATACTTACTTTAATTTTAAATTTTTTGCTTACTTTTTGTGTGAATGTTTAATTTATTTTGTCTGAGAGGTAAGTTATTGAGGCTTAGCTTAATACAGCGTCTCTTCATCAAACTTGAGACACTAATGTAGAATTTATCCTCTGTGTAATGTCAGCTTTATGTTTCTTGCCAATGTTTTATTAGACCTTAGATTGTAATCTTTATAGATATCCAAACGTGTGAAAATAGTGTCAAGGAAGTCTTTACGTTATAACCTGTGAGCCTATGGTGATGTCAGAGAGGTTACGAAAAAACAAGACAGTTTTGTTATGTGAATGGCCTTAAAGACTTTATTACTGAAGTATGTAAAAAGAAACCATG